AGGAAATGCCAAAACATTATGATTTCTTCTTTTTTTTTTTAATCTGTTCTTTTAACTATCACAATCTTTTGAGACAATGCCCCTCCCCCTCCCCCCCTCAACAACACAGGAAAGCCACATGCTTTCTTTTTTTTAAAAAAAGAAGTTTGATCTGTGCACAACTCAGGAGCACCACAGGTGTGTCCAGGCTTCCTCGAAACTGCGGGTGGAGGGGAGGCGGTTTGAGGGGCTGACGGGGGGGTGATGGGTAGGTGGGCTGCAGAAGGAGGCATATGGGGCCCTCCAGAAGACCTCCAACCCAGCGGTTCCTCTCTTGAAGCAGCGGCCCCGAACAACGAGGCGGGCTTCTCAGCCAGGCCCGTAAAAGGAAATGCAGAGGGGGGGGAAGGGAAGAACGTACAAGGGTGAAGCAGAAAACTCAACTTCCCAAGAAGAATTTTGCAAGACTTTTTCTAAGAGAGGGGCGAGAAAGGCAGATGTTTGGAGGAAAGAGAGGGGCTCTGGAGTTAGGGCTCTGTGTACTGACGCAAACTAAAATAACCAAACAAAGCACAAATCATAACCGTAATCAAGAAGGAAATAAAACTGCATTCACGCCACCGCCATGCCCCAAACTTTTCAAACCAGAAAGAAAGGGTGGTTCCAAGAAGGGTGGTTCACTCGACAAGGGACCACAGGACCCATCCTCCACACCCATTGGGCCCAAGGAGGCCTCTGTGCGCTTCCCAGCCGTTAAGAACCATCCGTTAGGGAGGGGAAAGTGAGGTTTTTCAATTCAGCCCGCCTCTTGGAAATCCCTGGGCCACAAAACGAGGCTAACTTTGGTGGGGCCGCCACTAAGCCTTCTCACCTACGAACTGGATTTTCACGGGGTGCTGGGAAGCATGGAAAAGTGATCCCAGAAACTGAAACAAGGGTGGTTTGGGGGCCATCAAAGCATTTCTCAAAGTGAGCCGGGTTTCATTTCGCCAAAGTGCCCACTGGCCCCACTGGCTGGTTGGCAACACGGGGAGAGAAATTAAAGCATTTTTGGGGGGGGGGAGTTTTGGGGGGAGAGAAACAGCCGCATTTCCTGCCTTTTCTTTTCACCCCATTTCTTCCGCTGAGAGATTAGAATCGTTCTTCTCCTCCCCAAAGTGTCAGAGAGTCTTTAAAAAAAAATCATTTTAGATCTTTGCATGGAAACAGCCTCTCAAACGAATAAAGGCTTTCTTCTTCCACCCCGGAGGAAGAAAAGAAGAAATTAAACGCATGGTTAACACCCCAACCTCTTGCCCCGAATCAATGGGACGTGGGTTGTTTTTTTTCTTTTTTCCTTTAAAAAGGGCCAGTATGGGCATAGACGCCATTCCGAAGGCAGAAAAGACCCTGTTTTCTAAAAGGGAATTAAAATAGCTTTTCTCCCCGCTTTCTTTTGCCTTGTCTCTCAAAACGTGTTTGACCAAGGGGTCGTGAGAAACCTCAGGTGCGGAAGAAGAAAGAGCAACTCAGCGGAACTTTCCCAACAGAAAGAAAACTTCAGGAAAGTCCCAAAGAGTTTTTGCGCAAAAGTTTGGAAGAACTTTGAAGCCACGAGAAACAGACTCGAAAAGCAGGCGGGGGTCTCCCTCCCCACCGGGCTGCCCCCCCCCCCCCCCACGGCTGGTCCCGAGACCCAGAGCGCCCCTCTCTCCCCTTACCTGCCCACCTGGGGGTCCCGGGACGGTGCCTCCTCCTCCTCCTCCTCTTCCTCCGAGCGCGCCAAGCAAACCAACATGAAAGTTTCCTCTGCGTGGGAAAACGAGGCTCGGCTCGGCTCCTCCACCCTCCTGCTGCCGCTGGTCGAAGGCGGAGGAAACGCTCGGGAGGATTTCAACAGGCAGGCCGAGGAACACCGCCCCCCACCCCACCCCCCCGCGATGATTCAACCCCCAGCCGTCCTTGGGCTCGCCGGAGCGGCTGCTGCCAACCCTGGCAGGCTCTGGGCATTGCAGCCCCTCGGCCGGGGGACTTCCAGAGGCTGGAGGGTTCAGTGGGGCTGGGGGGGGGGGGGGTTTCCGGCGTGCCCAAGCCCCGGGGGTGCAGGGGGGGGGGGCATATCCTGGCTTGGTGCAGTGCCCAGTCTGCAGACAGGACCCCCTCGGCCAGATGTGGCTTTGGGGAAGAGAGAGAGAAAGAGGCTGGGTTCGTGGGGCTGTGCCATCCCCAGATGGAGGCCTTTAAGAAGCGCCTGGGCAGCCCTTTTGTCTGGAAGGGTGTAGCAGAGTCTCCTGCGGCTTGGACTAGATGACCTCCAGGGACCCCCCTCCAATTATGTTTTTCGGTTCTTCCATCCCTTCTTGAGCCGCCTCAAAGCAGGGAGGACACCAACGGCCCAAAGGATTTGTGGGGTGTGTGTGTGTGTGTGTCATGACCCATTTTTAGGAACCGAATCAGCCCCACAGGCATCTTTGGTGGTGGGGGGGGGGCACGGTTAGTCCTCGACTTATGACCACATCTGAGCCTCATGTTTCTGTTCCGCGATGGTTGTTAAGGGAGTTGGCGTATGGAAGCTTATTGAACTTGCAACCTTGATAGCAGGGAGTTCCATGGGCTCATTTTTCCCTTGGAGCTTCTCCGGCACTCAGATTCGCAGGTGAGCCCCCTCCCTTTGTGGGAGAGGGCAGACCAGCTGCCCACCCCCCTTTCCCCCATCTGCCCCCCTCCCCCCCCGTTTCTCTGGGAGCCAATGCAATCCCTGCCTCCTTCCCCAGAGACCTCACCCCCCCCGGCCCCTCCCGTGCAAGATGTGCCCACCCTTCCAAGGCCCCCCCCACCGCATGCCCCCCTCCCCTCCAGGTCCCCCTCAAGCGGCATTTCTTCCTTCCCTGGAAATAGCGCTTCCAGCTGATTCATTGGCTGGGCGGCTGATGGGGGGGGAGGACCCACCCGCCAGTGAAATCTCTTTCCAGTCCAGGAGGGGCTGCATTGCAGCAAGAGAGGAGGGGAGACGGACACGCCTGGCAGCCCCCACCCCACCCCCCGCCCACCCGCCCAGCCCAAGGCAGCCAGACGGACACAGCATCTTCCGTGAAGAGACCCACGGATAGACAGACCATCCACCGGGGCTCTTTCCAGATCCTGCTGAGAAGGAGGTAAGGCTGGGGAGGGGAAGGAGAAGACCCCCCAGAGGTTAGACTCCATGCCGGGAGGGCAGGGCGAGCCGTTGCATCATTATTTTTTATATATTCCACCTTACAAAGGTTGATAAGGTATTTTATTGTACCACGTAGATACATAATGCTGGGTCATATTCATTCCTATTCCCAGGAAGTCTTGGCTTACTGTGGAATTACTGTACACGAACAGACGATGCTATATGAAATCATTTTTTGTAGGTTATTCCCAGCTAGCAAACCGTGGCCTAATGTGATTTTATATTATATAATATTGAATATTATATTGTATTATATTACACCAGTACATGGCGCACTGTTTCTCTCTTTCTCTCATCTATCTATATCTATCTATCTATCTATCTATCTATCTATCTATCTATCTATCTATCTATCTATCT